CTCATGACCACTTCCGCGCCTGTCTTGTCAACGATCATGCGAGCGTCATCCAGCGAGAAGGCGTCCCCGTTGGCCACAACGGGAACGTTCATCGCAGCCTTCACAGCCGCAATCTCATCATAATGCACGGGGCAGCGGCGTTCCTTTGGTGACCGCCCATGCACGCTGATCCACGCTGCGCCCATCTGCTCTGCCCGGCGACACAGCTCCACCGTTTCTGCTGTCGTGTTTCGCAAGCGGATCTTGATGGACACGGGAATTCCGCTCAGTGCACGCGCCTGCTTTACCATATCTGCCACCAACTCCGGCTTCGACACCAAGTGCGAACCAAGCCCATCCTGGTGGGGATGTGTTGGGTGGAGAGGGGAGTGCGTGTGTATGGGTATGAACAAACACAAGCAGAAACACACATACACATGTACATACACTCTTGCACACACTCTCTTACACACACATGTACACACACTCTTACACACACGTACACACACTCTTACACACACGTACACACACGCACACATGTACACACACACGCACACACCTGCATGGCCCATTTTTGTGGGCAGCCGCAGTTCAAGTCAATGGCGTCGGCGTAGGGGGCCATGAGAGCAGCTGCGTGAGCAAAGTCGCGGGCATTTGCGGCCGCAAACTGCGCCACAACAGGCTCGTCCTGGGTGCTTGTGGCAAAGTCGGCCTCCCTCGCGCGCCAGCTCTGGACAAAGGAGTCTGACACAATCATTGGCGTAAACGCCACATCCACGCCGTGTCGTCGCACGACATGCCGGAAAGCGAGCTGGGAGTAGCGGACCATGGGCGCACAGATGCGCACAAAGTCGCCCTGGGACGCTCTGTCCCTAAACAGGGCGCCAATATCCACACGCTCGCGATCTCGTCCAATCATATCTGCTTTGTGGATGTGTGTGTGTGTGTGTGTGGGTGTGTGTAGATGTGTGCGTGTGTGTGTGTAGATGTGTGTGTGTGTAGATGTGTGTGTGTGTGTGTGTGTGTGTGTGTAGTGTGTGTGTGTGTGTGTGTGTGTGTGTGTGTGTGTGTGTGTGTGTGCGTGTGTGTGTTTGCGTTGTTGTCGCCGCCACGAGTTATGAACATTGATTGGCATTATCGCTAATTTTCAGCATCCTCGTGGCGAAAGGAAGATAAGCAAGATGAGTGATCCAGGTGCAACCATCAACACAGCCGATCATGACAAGAGCAGTGGCGCTGTTGGGGCTGAGGGGAAGCGAGACAGCGGGCACGTGAGCACGCAAATCATAAACCAAGTTCTTGCTGAGGAGGAGAAAACCATGGATGTGGATGCGGATGCGGATATGGATTTGGGGGAGCAAGGCAGTGAGGTTGTCGAGGGGGACACCGATGCAGATGACACGACAGAGCAGAGCCTCGAAGAACTGCTGGCGTATGCTGAAGCAGAGGGCATGGGGCCCACTGAGATCAACAAGGACGCCACCCAAGGGCAACGACAATCAAAGGAGAACCTGCGCACCGGTGCAGATGCAGATGCACAAACTGCAGACAGCGTTGACAAAGCTGATGATGGCGAGCATGGCGATGAGAATGCTGTGAACGGCGCTGAAGGTGAGGGCAAGAAGAAGAAGCAGGAGGGTGAGCAGGAGAGGAAGGGGGGAACGGAGAATGCAGACGAGCAAGAAGACAATGGCAATAGTGATGACGAAGATGATGAGGATGAGGATGAGGATGATGATGACGATGATGGTGATGATGACGATGACGATGGTGATGATGACGACGACGATGACGAAGATGGTGTCCTAGGATTTGTTGTGGACACGGAGCGTCTGGAGCCCGTTAATGTTGCCGCAGCAAAGATCAAAACGAAACATGAGGTTTTGCCAACGGTACGTAGAACGAGACATCGTCTGCGGCTACATGGCACGCACGAGAGGGCGTGAGGCTTGTGGTTTCGCATGTTTGAATTGTGCATTCCCTGATTACATTGTTCACGCGCCGTTGTGTGTGATACGATAGGAGCTGCCACTTGAGAAGGAGGAAAAGGAGATCCCATCACTCGACGAGAAAGTGTCTCTCACAAAGATGGGCGCCGTATCCGCAACCGTCAACCTCATGGGTATGTTTCTATTTAGCATGTGAGTGTGAGTATGTGTGAATTTGCGTGCGAGTGTGTGAATTTGCGTGTGAGTATGTGTGAGTGTGTGTGAGTGAGTGTGTGTGTGTGAGTGAGTGTGAGTGAGTGTGTGTGTGTTGATCTGTGGCTGCCGTATTGTCTGCTTCCAGTTCTCATGCACGGCTCACGCACGCTTCGCTGAAATTGCGCGTTCCGCCTT